GTCATTCTATCCAGGGCCCCGCTCACTGGATTCTTTGCGGCGAGAATTGATTTCCGTAGTTGCGATGACGTTCTGAGTCTTTTTCCACATACTGCACTCTTCGTAAATATTGCTTGGGCACACACATGTGAACAATATCGAAAAGGAGCGCCTTCCGCACGAACAGTAGTTCAGGCTGTCCTGTTTGGACCGGTCTCATACATGCCGAGGATGGCCGCGAACTATGTCTTCGATCCACGAACTCTGAACCCTGCAGATGCCGTGGACGACGGGCTAGCATGCGAGCCAGATCTTGAGCCGGACTGGGATGAGTGATGGACTCCAGTCTGCGCTGTGCACGCTCCGCATAGATAAAAACAATTGGAGCCTGCTGCCGGAGCGAAGAGCTGGGTCCCATACAGAACGAAGAGCTGGGTCCCATCCGTCAAGGCTCTAAACACCATATGCGTGCGGCCCCCAAATGAAGTGGTTCATGTGTTATTCTTCCATTTTCACTCTTCCCGTAAAAAGCGGGTATGAAAAAGTCTAAGTTGTCAGACTGGTTTTCAGGCGGATGTCACATGGATGTTCATAGCTGCCACGGCGCCCGTGCCTCATGCTTTTTCACACTGTTCCTGTCATGTCCTGAGTCGTTTCCCCTTCACAATGTCTTCTTTCTTGAGGGCAGGATCCGGGCTTGCAACCTGCTCATCGCAGATTTGGGGAGACCCATCGTGATATTTAAAGCCCACCAACATTGCACTTCGTCAACGTGGGTGAGTCCACCATAGATTATCGTAGGTCGTTGTAGGGAATGGCGCCCCTGGGCCCCTGATGATGGACTTGAAACGGTGTTGTGAGAAGAGATGAAAACGGAGATTCCAACCAGCGGCCCACACACAAGGCATTAGGCCTCATTGTTCATGCTTTCTCCAGCAGCTAGTTTGCTTTGAGTTGCTATGTCCTCAACGCAACTTCATTTGATGTGTGTGTGTGTCAAGACCTGGGGATGTTCCCAAAGCATCTAAAAGCACCCAACTCCATTCCTGTACTTGGATGTATTGGGACTGATCAGGCTCTGGTGCTCACAACGAGGAGAACGCTGCCGGATGAACTTACGACAGAGCTGTGAGATAGAGCTAGGAGCTGATGTGTCATCCTGCCGGATGCTGTAAAACGAAGAAGATTTTGCTACAGAAAAGCCTCTTTCTTTTGGTCTCCGGCTGCTTCGGAATGATTCCCCACCTACCAGTGGCCCTTGTTGAGCTCAAGATGCTATGGTGATATGGAGGACTTCCCTTAAGAAAGCAGACCTGCGCAAAGACCCTGCCTCGCTTGCGCAGCCAAGGATGTCAATCATTCTTGTGGCGCGCGCCTGTTTTTGGAATGCCCCCCTGGACATCTAGCTAACAGAGACTCCTGACGGGACCCCGACGCATTCTCATTGCTAACATGACACTCTACCCCATTTGGTGCTGGACTAACCGCCGCGTAGGCTCCGAGACCCTCGTCACTATGGGGTGTCCCTGGCGATCGCCGGATTGGTCGCATGTTGCCTGGGAGTGACTCCGGGGCGTCCAAAGACGTGAGGTGGCTTGCGCGGATACTTGTGCGACGTTCTCTGCAAAATGGATGCTGAGGTTCTTATATACGTCAGTCTTTTCCTTTTGCCCTGGCCCCTGCATGCGTGATTGCCACAGCCGCTGCGATCCCAGAGAAAATGGGCACGGACACTGGCAGCCACTCCGAAGCGCACCCACTGACCGCCAATCCAACGCGTAACCACCGGCAGTCAACGCATGCAGCCACTGGCAGCCATTCGAGCGCGCAGCCACTGGCAGCCACTTAAGTGCACAGCCACTTGCAGCCAATAAAGCAGCCACTTGCAGCCACTGGAGCAGCCGCTTGCGCAGCCACTTGAGCAGCCACTTGCGCAGCCACTTGCAGCCACTTGAGCAGCCACTTGCGCAGCCACTTGAGCAGCCACTTGCAGCCACTTGAGCGGCGGCAAGTGGCCGCAAGTGGCTGCAAGCGGCTGCTTTTTTGAAATTCAAAATGCGCTTCATTTGCACGCTCTCTGGCACTTTGGGCCTTTGGAGTGGGGGCCTACTTTTCGGGGAAAGGCGACGGTTCTTGAGCCTTTTGACCGCAGCTTCTTCGGCTCAAGTATATACCAGATCTAGTTACACCTTTTGCTAGCGATGAATCTTGTCCAAAAATCAATCTTTCTGGCGCCTCTAGAAAATGCATTGTTTGCTTACACCCGTCTGATTCAACTCACAATGGAACCCGTACAAGACCATTCCCCAGAGAGGCGTAAGATCACGAAGCTTTTGCTTCTCGTTTTTCTAGAATGTCTCGCATTTTCTAGGCATCTTCTTTTTCTGACCACAACCATTCACTAGACCAAAGAGAATGCCCTGTTCTAGTTAGAGAATGGTTCATCCAGGTGTTCCTTGAACTGTTAACGGGGATGTTCGATTAGGTTCACAAAATTCGAGACGTTCACCTTGACATTGGGGATGGCGAAGGTGAGGCAGTGAAGAAGGTGATAAGGTTGAGTGGAGCGCTGCACTGTTTCCTTTGGGCATGTCGGGGTTTGGAGCAAAAGGTTTGGACGCGAGCTCTGGGTCTGGGACGAAACTTCCAGATGCCCCAGCAAATAGAATTCCTCCATTGTTAAGACTGCTTTGCATGATGTTGAGGGCAAGGAGATCACCCCCAAAGAGAGTTTGGTCCAACCCATTTTGTGTTTTTGCGTTTTGGTCGTCTTCCTGAACACTGGCTGGTTGGGAATCCATGGAAGAGTGCAGCCTTTGGGGACTGGAGACTTTAGAGTGTTCCATTTTGCGCGTAGAACAAGTCTTTGATCACCCATGGCAAGATCAGAGTGTTTTGAGATGAGGCTGTCTTGAAGTCCAGGCTGGATGTCCCGACCTTCATGCCTGAGGCGGTGGAATCAAAGCTTAAAGCACGCGCCAAAATCTTTAACCGCAACAAGAAGATGCAATTAGGCTTGCTCGGGGGACCAGAGAAGCTTTAGGCCAGACAGCTGCCAAGGTTCCGGATGCGACATAGCATCGACTCACTCATGTTCCTTGCGCGAGCTGGTGTCCAGAGTGTATCCAGCACATGGCGAAGCCTGATACACGACGGCCGGGGGTGACAATGAGCCGTCGACAAGACAGATCTTGAGTAGATCTTGGGGTTTCTGGTAAAGGTTCGGCCTAGTCTTGGCTAGAACACTTGGATCAATCCCACCAGGTTTGGGAATCACTGTTCCTTGTCTGAGAACACCATTGACAGAGTGAGGAAGCTGGCAGGATGCTTCAACGAGGGTTTACAGGGCCTACAGCATAGTTGGGAATCAAGATTGGGTCTGATCATGCTGGGCCCCACGCAAGTTGTGCGTTCAACCGGTTCCAACCAAGAGCAACAACGAAGGTGAAACTAGGTGACATCTTTGCAACTACTTGGGCAAGGTCGAGGGTCAGGACACCTACATCTTGATGGATGGAACTCAATTCACGTTGAGAAAGCGCACAAGGACTGACCCAGAGTGGTCCAAGCACCTGCCCATCTAAGAGTTTTAACATCTTTTTGTGGGGGTACCGACAAACTTTGGCCGGATCACCACAAAGAGGGAACAGATGCGTTGCCAGCAGGGAGAAGTGAGATCCCACAAGAGGGTTCAGAGACAGAGCTGTCATGGCAAAGGTTCTTGAAAAGGAGGAGTTGTTTCCACAGCCTCATGTCATCCCAAGACCTCCCGAATACCATGTTGAGGCTCTTGAGGAGGACCCCCTGCCAGTTGCAAGAAGAGGAGGAAGATGGCGGCAATGACCACAAAATGTTTTTGGAGAGATGGAAAGCAGGCTCCAGAGGAGGATCCACCAAAAATAGTGGACAGAGAGTCGGAGAAAAGAGGTTTCGGATCACGGGCGACCGAGGGGAGATGGGGAGATGCAGCAGAAATGAGTTGCCCCACAACGCGATCAGTTTATGATTGGAGGAACCCCAGAATCTGCTCCGGGCCTGCCCCGGAACTTGCTGCTCCGGAACCTCCTCCGGAATTTGTCGCGGAACCTGCTTTGGAACTTGCTCCGGGACCTGCTCCGATTTGCTATGGCTATGGTTGAAGGCCCCTAAGCTCGCTATTGGGGGCAAATGTCCAGAAAGGCCGAAATCCAACGTTGTCGATCTAAAGGTCCTAGACAGCATTGTGTATGACGATGACCCGGAACATATCAAAATCTCATTTGGCAAAAATTTTTCTCGAGTTGGCGAAAGTAATTTTTTTGCGAAAGATCTGGCGAAAGATTAAATATGTACTTTTGTATGAATGTTCATTTGCTTCCTGAACAGCTGGTGGCAGTGACTCAGAAGTTAGATGAGCTGTGGAAGTTAGATAACCTGCTGCTGCTGCTGCGGCTACTACTACTACTACCACCACCACCACGACGACTACTACTACTCCTTCCTGCTTTGGGGGGTGGCTTTGCCACAAAACTCTACCCCGCAAAAGGCGAAAGTTTGGCGAAAGTTCAGCTCAAGATTGGCGAAAGTTCACCCTGCCACATCTGACCCCCAGCCCATTATGAGTAAATTTGAGTGACCGGCTACTACAGTGATTCCTGCAATTTTGATTCTTGCTGACACCCAGGAGAAACAAAAGAGACGTACAGGGTGTCAACAGTTAAGTAGAAGACACATGCTGACAAACAGTGAAGTTTCCATTTTGTATTTGCCAGTAAAGAAGAAGCCATTGACGTGAACAAAACACAACATACATGGCACGCATAAATACAACATACTTCGGCGAAAGATAAAACGCAGGAGGGCGAGAGTTTGGCTAAAGTAAGTTTTTTTTTCGAAAATGATGGATCCCGGATAAAGGAATTTAGATCAACTCCCAACTGTATATTTGGTTTTTGGTCTTGCTTGCTAGTTCAGGCGTTTTTGCGTCAATGGATTTGAACGTACGTGTCCACCCGTCCACTTTTCATCTCCCCTCGAATGAGGAACCTCCTTTTGGTGAGATCTTTGATCCTTCGAGCTTCGTGGTCCGATGGCCAATGCAGAGAGTGGGCATGGAGCTCAAAAGGTCAAAAGGTTCTGCCAAACAAGACTCTTGCTCAACCGCTCGGAGTTGCTGTAACATGTTGTATATACATTCGGTCAAAATGGGTCAAAAGGTTTGTTCACCCTACCTGAAAGACAGGGGCAGGACTGTGTCAGCATTATGTGCGCTGTTTTGTGTTACTGTGCGAGTATAGCTAGTGGCCACCAACAATCCTGAAGCCTTTAAGCCTTTTTTCTCACCAGGTAAATGCCATGAAACAAAGGCAGAATCCAATGTGCAAGAACGTGCATGCGGCCCGGTCAAGGCCATGAGCTGTTGGAAACTTTGAGGAAAGTGACCCCAGAGGCCTATGAGAAGATGACACTCGGCCAAGTTAGTGACTTGCCTTCGGGATGAAAATCGATCCTTTGAGTTCAGGAGTTTGGGTGGCGGTCAAGTTGTGACTACAGATGATGTTAGTTGAGGGATTTGATCTAGTTGCTTTCAAGTCACAATGTTCCCAGCAATCCGGGGCCTCAGGTGGCAGTTTTTCGCCTTGCCAAGGTGTCAAAAAATGTGTTTCATTCCCTTACGGGTAACCGTTACAGTGATCAAGCCGCATCAAGCCCAGACTTTCGAGCAACCGACTGTCAAGCCGAAAGACCCGAGACTGAAAGACTGGATGGAGGCTTGGCCGGGTGCGCAGCCAGCGATGCTGGCCTGGGCTCCAAGATTGTCGAAGGGCGATCGGTATGCATTAACTTATGCCTTGTGCTGTCGTTGGAACTGGATCTCCTGTCGAACAAGGGCGGAGAAGAAACACAGAATGCACTCATGATTTGCACAAGTCCATGCAGGTCCTGACAGTTTTGACCTTGGTCGCGAGCAACAATGAACAGAGATCAACCCAAGCCCCATGAAAATTGGAAGGGCCGGGATTGCGAATGTGCTTTGTAGGTATGTGTGGATACCTTCCGTGATGGACCACGAGCAAATCGACTCTTGGCAACTTAAAGATTCAATTATTGTTTGATTTCCATTGCGAAGATGTTGGCTTTCACTCGCATCAAGAACTTAAGGACATTCAGAAGGGCAAGCTGGATGGAGTTTGCCCTCTTTGGAAGACTCAAAATGCATTTATTGGGGTGATGAGACTTCTTCGCACTCGCCGGAGGGCTTCCCATTGGCCAAGCCTTGGGAAGGCTTTCCATGTACCTGACGAGGCAGGGCGCAAAGCTAGCAGGTTGGTCAGGCAGCCAATGGAGACGACATGTTTGGGAGTTGGCCACGCAAGATGCATTTGTAAGGACACCCTTTGTCATTTGGAAGCATTGGCTGGGCCGTCAAGAATCAACTGTGTGAAGAGGTAGGGGAAGCCGTGCAGCTTGATGAGCAGGCCCAGTGGCATGACTTTGGAAGTTCCGGATAGAAGTTGATTCTCATGTAGAACCATGGGAAAGACTATGATCATCATTGATCATTCGAGATTCATACTAAATGAAACCGCAGGTCATTATATGTATTCAATTTGTGGAACAGCAGGGTGTCTCTTCCAAAATCGTTCTTTTTTGTTCAATCATTTCAGCGTGGAACAAATGCCAGCCCTACAGAGCAATTTTAGGATGTCAAGCGTCCGTGTCCCAAATGCAAAGCAATGGAGGGGCTCGGACAGCGTACGCTTTCTCGACAGAGCTTTCACACGCTCAATGAACTCAACCTCAATCTGGGGCCAAAGCGGATGGCAACTCTTCACCTTGAAACTTCATCAGAGGAGCGCATACACTGGGTGCTTGCTGCCGCTCTATCTTGTACAAGCTTGGCTTTCTTGGTGATGATGATTGTTTTGGTCCCCTTTCCTCAAGATCTTTTCGTTCCCAACTACAGTCCTTCCCAGCTATCTCCCTATGACCATCTCAATATGGCAACGTCTGTGATAATGATGCAGATCACAGCTCCCTGGGCATCCTTGATGATTGTGCGCAGCCATTCCCATTGTCAGCGAGACATGATGATTCTTTTGGCCTTGATTTGGGTTGCTGAGATGATCCTAGCAGCAGCACACATTTTGCACTTCCAAGGCTTTGCGGTTGATTTGGATGTACCCGCGGTACTGGCCGGGATCCTAACAGTTGGACTGAAGCTAGAGGACATGTTGATACACCTCCTTATGGATTGCAAATCGGTGCTGTACATCGATTTTCGCATTGGTCACTTGCAGCGCCTCCTTCGATGGGAGTTCTATACAATCATTGTTCTGGTCGTGGTCACGTTGTGCGATGCAACCTTTGAGACCGGAATGGTGCTTCTGATCTTGGGAAGCATTCTGTCTTGGATCTTCCTGGCCGGAGGACTGTACTTCTGTGTTCAATTGGTTCATGAGCTTGGGGCCTTGGCTCGGGCGAGTGAGGAGACAAACATTTCAAATCAACTAGCGAAAATGTCTGAAGTCTTGAGGGCCATTTCCCAGGTTCGCTCATACAAGAGGATTGTTTCTCTTCACAGTGTGCTGAAATTCTTTGTTGTTTCGCATGTTTTACTTCTTCGAGGGTACATGTGGCCCTTCCCTACCAACCTCACGGAGATGGTGTATGAGAGTTGGGGGATGGGCTTTGGCGTATTCCTTCTGATTGACTCGACTGCCGGCTCGATGTTGTGGTATCTTGGACTGATGGTTGGCGCTATGTATCTCAATGGGGTACAGTCGATACCAGCAACGCATGCAAGACATCAAGAAGAAAAACTGCGTGTGGAAAAAAGAACGCGGCAACAGAAGATCTACTGCACAGCCAAGGACCAAGGATGGCAGGAGAAGGTTGAAGATTTAGCCCAAAGGGCTGTTACTTTGGAGGCACTTCTGAAGTTCTACAAAGGCTTGGGGACAGACTACATGCTCAACTTCAACTCCAGCCACCACACCACAGACGATGTGGTACGGCAAGCGATCATTCCCTTGAGTGCTTCGGAAGAGTCGGATATGTCAAGGATTCTCGTCTTCAAAGAAAATGCGGTTTGTGAGTTTAGTGTCAACATATGCCAAAACACAGATAACACATTTCCGAAACAGAACACCCAATGGGAGACGGACGTACATACTCCGCCAGAGACGGATGACGGTTCGATCGGTGGCATGTATGTCGATCAATTGGTTCATTATTGACAGCAGATAGATATTTGACTGAACGCGTGCTTCACTCATGCTGCCTCAAGACACACCTGGTCATAGTCGTTCACATCCCTCATTCTGCTTTAATAAAAGAAGGGGGAAGTGGGGACACTAACGGTGCGGTCCCGTGAGGATTTTGATGAAGAATCGCCGGGTGCGACCCACTGCCATGGTGACCCACACATGGCATTCGCGCTTCCGGGACTTGGTGGCAGCCGTGGTGGCGGAAGCCTTGGAGGAGACCCATTTCGTAAGGATCGCTTTGCTGTTAGACAGCGATCTGACTTTGGTGAAGAGGTGCCACCTGGGTTTTGTGCGGGATAGGTTAAGATGAGGTGGTGCTTCATGGGCCTTGTTCACGCATGTTCACGCATTCATCATTCTGCGGGCCTAAGTGCTAGCAGGATAGTCACCTCAGACGGTTGGGCCGAAGGAGTCGAGAAAGAATAGTTGCGGAGAACAACCATAGCAGCACAGCTGAGCTTGCTGTACCAGTAGGGATGATAAGAACACACACCGGCGCACCACACGACTATGGCTGGATTCCAATCTACAAGACCAGCACAAAAGTATGGAAACTGCTCAGCAAAACCTTCGAGAAACCCAAATTTAGCCTCCTCACCCTGAGGTGGCTTTGCAAAGCTGAAGCTTTGCAGCGAACCTATTGGATTTGTGCCTTTTGTGTGAATCAGCATAGTAGCATTTGCTGCCCCACATTTGACCTCGTGGACTCGTACAGCAAAGAGGTGGTGCCAGCTTGCAGCTGTGACTGCCACAAGTATCTCAATACAGACCCTCCTTGCAGAGAAGATGTGGAGGAGCCCATGAGCATCAACTGTGAGATGAATAAGTTTTCTGACATGATTGCATGGCTTGCCGCAACAGACAGTTCCTTCAAGCAAGTCCTGGTGGTGGATTCTGAACTGGAGCTTTTCTCTCGGGCCTGGTGTGTAGCAGAGATTGCAGAAGCATACATGATGGGGATGAAGCAGCTGTTGAAAATTGACAGCGCTCTGACCCTGCAACATCGCACTGAAAAGCTCAAAGCTGTCCGCATAGAAGATATGAAGGCATCTAGACCTGAGGATGTCGAGCAAATTCTAAACCGAATCCCAAACAAAATTGAATTCAATTTACAACTTCAGAGATTGTTTGGCAAGCTCTTCGGAACGTTCTGGCATCTCCACCCATCTGAGAGACTGAAGATGACCTGCCGGGAAATCCGTTGGCAGCTCGCCTTGAAAGATGAGGAAGTAATGGATGTATCACTTGACCTAGAGAGCATTGATATCGAAGAGAAGCCAGCTTTGTGAAATGTGAGACATTAAAATTAATTGAAACTGTAAAACATTTGTGACACGAGCAGGCCTAGCTCGTGGCTTTTGTACAACTCCAAGCCTGGATCATGCCGCCTGACAAGATGGGCCGCAGATCCGACTGGCCAAATCCTACAAGAGATCAACTGGGATCAACTCATCCAAAGGATGATGTTTTTTGACTTTGCCAGTGTGACACTTTCAAAAGATGGGCATTTGCTTGGGAGTTTTCGTGCGACACACAGGGTGTTTGGTGCAAAGAAGCTGAAGTGATCCGTGAATGTGCGAAGGCACGCTTCCGTACGGACAGTCCTGAGTCCTGAGAGAGGAAAAGAGCTGAAAAGAGCTGTCGTTGAGTCAGCTGAGTTTGTGGGCTTTTAGGGTCCGGCGATGGCCTCCAACCCACTTGCGATGGCCTCCAACCCAATAGGAATGGCCTCCAACCTATTAGGAATGCCCTCCAGCCTAGAAGAGATGAGACTGGAAAGGAATACTGGTCGCATTCAAACCACTTCATAGATTCCAACGAATGAACGGCCTCGACTAGTCGCCGAGGCTTGGCTTTGGAGGCTGAGGAGGTGGCCAAGGCTTGCACCTCTGCACTTCTTCTGGAACCCAAGCTTCATGAGGCGTGACTCCGAGTCGCATGTGTTTGGTTTGGATGTTTTTGGGGGTATGGTCCACTCCTGGGGCGCGCCCGGTTGCCCGGTTTGCCCAGTTGCCCGGTTGAGCCTGTTTGCCCGGTGTCGTTTCGATGGGTAGGGCCCACGCGAGTCAATGCCTAGACCACCACCTGTCTCGGAGTCAAGTTCCTCCAAATGCATGTTCAGGACGCAAAACCCCCAAGCAACTTCAGGAGCATCAAACACTGCCAGAATAAGATGACAATCAAAAGAGTGCCGAGCACAATCAGGATTCGACCCAACCGACTGAGCTGCCCGCTGCCCCGAACGAATGCGGTTGCCACTTTCAATGTTGTACAACAGCAAGAGGTCTTCAATGTATGAAGACCCCCCTCCCACTCATCCCTTGCTTGAGGCGGCGATCGCCGTTCATATATATTCAGTGCACTAATATTTAAACTGCATCATAGAATTGCAACTGAATGAGCATAATACATCTTCAGGGTACATACGCATATGCACAACATGCACATTCAGAAAGTGACAGCGTGTTACATTCACACATGTCGACATGTTAAACAATTGAAGTAGACTTGTACATGAAATCAAATCTTTGCGGGAGATTTGATCGAATTTTTCGAAAATTTACGAAAATTCAAGAACAAGTGTTTGAACGCGTTCAGGCGCGTGGCACATTGTACGAATTGCGGGCCGCCTAGCATGGGCTTCAAGGTCGATGTCATGAACCGCTATTAGACTTTGTCTAACCGCAACCTTCAGAATCTATAAAGGCAAAATGGAGGGTGTGTACGGAAAGGGTGTCAGCAAGAACTGCTTCTACAAAGTTAGTACATCAAAAAGTGTCTGCTTTTCAATGGCCTAACCATCCTTGGGGTATATACCCAAACTCATTGGTTGTCGCCACAGCGATCACCATACTAACATACACGAAGCTCTGCTAAGGGCAACCCAGCTAATCATCGACGGGAAGACAAAGGGCTGAGTGCAGAGAAGTAATGGATTCTGCTCGTGGTTGCTGCTGCTGTTTCTTCATACTTCATTGCTTGTTCACTGCTTGTTGGTTTCTATTGTTTTTGTTCTTGTCCTACTGATCTGCAAAAATTGTCGAGGCCTCGGATGCGCCAGCTGAACAACGTGCCCAACGTTGAAAGATCAGCAGAAACGCTTCACTGGACTTGACCTGAGAGGAAATTACGAGCCAGGAGATTCGCTTGTGGATAAGTGCATTGCAGCCTATGAGGCTGACAGGCTTACATATGCATCATATGCGTCTTGGGATTGCTGCGTGTCTCGCAAGCATGATCACCACCCGAGCAAAGCGAGACCCTGCCTTGAGCTTTGATGCCTCTGGGAGCTTGAAGATTGTAATGAAAGAGGTCGTTGAGCCATGTTGTGGAAGATGCCTCCGAAGAAGACGTCACAGGACCTTTTGGGCAAGGGGACGTCACTTGAGCCTGAGTGGAGAAAACTTATCCTTGCCTTGGAATATGCCTCCGAAGACCAGTTCATGTTGTGGATAGCTCGAGTTCCTTCTGCTTCGAATGTTGCCGATCACACCAGCAGGGGAACTTTAAAAGAGCTTGAATGGATGAAACCTTTCGGTTTTGTCACACCTGCATGCCCTCTAACTCACGGTCTCGTCAAGTCCAACCTAGATGCTGAAGCAGATGGGGGGAAATGAAAAGACCTACGCATGGCCTGGAAAAGCATCTGAAACATCCCCTGTCCGCCAGATGCCAAAAAAGAGAGACCGTGAGTTTAAGCCACACTGTGCAAATATGTAATGAATGATTTGTTTGTTTAAAAATTGTAAGCCCGTTATATGCGATAGCTGTATACATGGAATATGAAGGGACAAGGTTAAGTCATAAGACTGCGGTTAGACAAAGTCTAGTAGCGGTTTATGACATCGACCTTGAAGCCTATGCTAGGCGGCCCGTAATTCGTACAATGTGCCACGCGCCTGAACACGTTCAAAAACTTGTTTCTGAATTTTCGGAAATTGTCGAAACATTTTCGATCAAATCTCCAGAGAAGATTTGATTTCATGTACAAGTCTACTTCAATTGTTTAACATGTCGACATGTGTGAATGTAACACGCTGTCACTTTCTGACTGTGCATGTTGCGCGTATGCGTATGTACCCTGAAGATGTATTATGCTCATTCAGTTGCAATTCTATGACGTAGTTTAAGTATTAGTGCACTGAATATATGAACAGCGACCGCCGCCTCAAGCAAGGGATGGGTGGGAGGTGGTTTTCATACATTGAAGACCTGAATCTTTGTACCCGCGCACTTCGTCTTTATCACGCCGAACCCGGGTCTGGAAAAGCATGGAGCGAAATGCGTTCATTCCCAGCGCTGTGCTTCGAACTGAAACATCCCCTGTCCGCCAGATGCCAAAAAAGAGAGACCGTGAGTTTAAGCCACGCTGTGCAAATTTATAATCAATGGTTTGTATATATCATAAACCCGCTATATGCGATAGCTGTATACTTTGGATATGAAGGGACAAGGTTAAGTCATAAGGCAAAACTAAAAATTTCTGAGGCAAAACGAAGAGGGCGTGCAACCAGCGCAAGGAGCTGGATTGCCCTTCCTAGATCTTTTTTGGGTTTCGCAGAACCCATGCGAGACTTGTAGACGCTTTATGATTGTTTGGAAACACCTCTCGCTATTGTCCAAGGTTTGCGCTAAACTTGTTTACCTGTGGAGCAGTTCGCAGAAATGGTTGGTGTTCTCAGAATGCCTTGCGCAGGCAAGTTAGTCTGGGTACAACATTGGCTTTGCCCTTAAATTCGTTCGTTTTAGGACGTTGCCCAAAAATAGATAAATAATATCTTCTGTACTGAATTTTTTGTTCGAGACTGTGAGGTTTGTTGTGCTTCTTGAAGCCGATGCTATACCATGCTGACTAATTGCACCTTTTGTTCGGCTGAGTTTTGGAATGTCCTTTTTGCAATTGCTGCATTGCTCCCCTGCCCGGTTGCCCGGCTGCCCGGTTGCCCGATTGCCCGGCTGCCCGGTTGCCCGGCTGCCCGGTTGCCCGGTTCTGAGTGCTGCCCGGCTGCCGGTTGCCCGGTTCCGAGGGCTGCCTGGTTGCCCGGTGGCCGCGAGAAAGGACCAATCCCGTTTTTGGTGGTGGCGGTGACCAGGTCTGGCAGAGTGTTTAAGGCTCAGGTTGCGCATTGCGCTTGGAAAAGCATCAGACATTGTAATACATTGTATACATGAAGATGGCAAGGCATAAGATCATAAGATCGTGGGTTGGACAAATATCGGTTGGTTTGGCCATATTTTTCTATGTATACTTGTATCTTGGGATTGGGAACCTTTTTTTTGGGATGTATAGCAATGAATTGTGCAACTGTGTTATGGAATTGGTTGTGATGCGGTGAGTTGCCCGAATATGTTTCTTTCCCTGCACCATGTTTGTGTATGTAGTAGCCTCCAACCTGTTCAAACCAATTTTGTTGGACGGAAACGACGACGAGAAAGACTTGCTACACATGATGTATGGGGATATGCTGGTGAGAACGTGTTTAGATGTCAGGACTTTCTGCAGGAAGCTGTAGTCACATTGTAGGTTCCAGTGGTGCATACTTCGATGCTTCTCTATGTTTCGCTGAGTCTGGGAAAGCCCCCAATCATGCCCGACCACTTTCCAATGACAGAGTATAACGGAGAGGTGTCGGTGCCCCAAGGTTAGGTGGGCGTTGCTTCAAGCTAAGCGGACGTCGCCAAAACGACCTCCCGGCCTCCCAGTCTGAAATTCCTTCGCAAGCTCCGCTTACCCCCCGTTGACATGGGATTGAGAGGCTTGAAGCATTGAAATCGATTAGCGTCATGTTTGCACCTGGGCGGCTGCATGTACTACTGCAGTCTTCATGTCCACTTTGTTTGAAAGGCCATGCTCATCCGCGGGCAAGCTCAACTTCGCCCGGGCCTTTCTTGCATCAGAAGCCCTGGAAAGTCTGGGGGTGCTGTGTTGTAGAATCTAACGTTTTAAGAAATGTTGCGAAAGGCGAAAGGTTCAATGATCGGAAAATACTGTCAAGTTGATCCTTGAATTTGACCAATATTGCCCTTCCCGGGCCCTTACCCAACCAAGTGGCCTGTCGTGCTGCCAAGAACTGGGCTTTTTCGCAGCTTGTGAGCTGGATTGCAGCGCAGCTTTGCAAGCCATCCCTGACAGTGCACAGCACCCAGTGAATGCCAGTGAAGGCTAAAGCCTTCAGATCAGAAAGTAGTTCAGTGTGCACAAGTCAGCGAATGCCACTCTCAAAGGGACGCACCTCCAATGATGCAAATCGTAACGCGGATCAACTCCAAATTAGGCAACGGCATGGGC